GCGGTGAGCCGCTGGCTCACGGTTCGTAGTCTCTGCTTCAGCTCGTTCTGCTTAAGGTTAGTCTAGCAGCAAAGAAAAAAGCTCGGCACTCCGCCTAGATTATAGGCTACAAATAATGTAATAAACAACCCTAAGTACTTTATTATTACCCTTTTTTCCCACTTAATCCATCACTTTTTGCGTTTAATCCCTATAGGAGATGACTTTTTTGTCAAATCTGGATTCTACATTCCTGTCTTTTGCGAGCAATATCGCCGTTATTTTCGCTTGGTTTTTGTTGATTTTGGAGTATGTTGTAGCTGAGACTATATGCTATCTAAATGTCCCCTCATTTTTCCAATCAGATGTCATCATGGTCTGTTGATGATGACCATCATCAGCATCATCATGATCATCATCATGATCATCATTGTTTACATGTCTATATAACTTCTCCCTTTCTCAATACAGTAAATATTATAATCTATCATAAGACTTGAAGACAGACCACCTTATTCCTCCTCGTGACGAATTAAATTCTAGTTTATTATTATTCTTCCTCGAATTTGTTCGCAGGATATCTCAAGACTGAATAAAGCCATTGTCATGAAACTTGCCATGATGATAGATCTTAGTCTAACTTAGAACTGCGTGACTTTTTAGAGAATAAAAAATATCGTGACGTCATCCAGGCGCCATTTCGTGAAAATCAACTTATGATCATATCTTCATAACGGAAACTATTTTCTCATTTATAATTATCAGGATTAAGATCAATATCCGTCCGGTCAATTTCAGGTCAATAAATGCGCGCAAAAATGCGCGTACGCGTTTGTGCTCGCGTTAACGCGCGCGTAAAATTTTAAATTGCTCAAAATCGTCTTAAATTTTTTTTGCATACGTTTCAGGCCATTATAAGCATTTCATAAAAAATCGCGCAAAACACGCATTTTTGCGCGTTTTCGTTCGTCACGGCCGAACGAAAAATAATTACCCCTCAATTTTTTTTTCATAAGATATTCGTCATATTTTTCTGAACAATTTGATACCATGTTCATCTCTTTATCACTATCAATAATGGAATGAGCGTCCGTTGAAGATAAATATCCGTGCGTGCTAGTTCATGTATAGCATATATGGGCAAAAACATGCCTATAAAAAGTACATCGGGATGAATAAGGACTGCCATTTTTGTCTTCATAATAATAATAATAATAGCTAGTTCTTATATAGCGCTTTTCAGGACCGAAGAGATATGATATCATGTCTCATTTGGCCATTAAGTGCTCAAGGCCCCAATTCAATTCCAAATTTCCAACGTTATTTAAATTACACGAGGGTTTGTATCTTTTTACAAAATACACGATAAACAATTAGCCGAAAATAACCTCGTGTCAAGTTTAGCTGAATAAATGCGGGTATTATTCGATGGTAAAAAGTTTGTAAAACGACTTTCAATTAAAGGGAGACAAAAATCTTTTCTCAAAGTTTGTTGATTCAGGGAAGCAGGGTGCGATCCAGCCGGGGTGATTCTCAACAACATGAAGCAAATAGTAAGCATCTAAAAACTTCAGATGCCTGTTTGATTATGATTTAAATTTGAGTGTATGCCTCAATCATATAAAGAGAATATAACCACTAATTTCGCTGAAACGATTCTCCTCCTCCCCGTTCTTCTTCATCTTCTGCTTCCTAGTTGTAGTAGTTGGAGTAGTAATAGCAGCAGTATCATTATAATCATTGTTATATTTATAATTATAGTAAATATCGTAATTATAATCAATATTATAGTAAGTGTGTGTTAATGTTATTATTCTTATAGTTATTTGCATGCTTTTTCTTCTGATCATAATTATCGTACACACAATACGTCATGTGCCAAGAATTTATTGCTATGATACATCCAAGATGTCTACCAAAAGTAAACTGTCAATTCGTTGCTGAAATATTATCAAGCCAAAAGAAGGAACATTAGAATTTCTATTTTAAATTGAAATAAATTATATAGGAGAAATAAATAGAGAATACAATCATGATTTTGGAACTAGGGGATTAACATGGACATAATGCACTTGTTAACATGACCGAATTATCTCTTATTCATTCTACCTCCAATTTTTCAGACTGTTTTCAAAACAATATCATGTGTGTCGATCATAGTTCTATGTAGCTTGATGTCTCCTCGTAATTTAAACAATCTAAGCAACAATTTCTGAATTTTAGCGACAATCGTTCGCTCTTGCGGCTCTTTAATACTATTATGACGTGCAGTAACAAATTGAAATTTCAGAACTCATGATAAATTCGTTTAAAAGTTGATTCCACTTGATTCTATTGTTCTGGTTATTTAGCAGAACGAGATATAAATTGACATTCTCATGGCTTACGACTTTGCATTAGCGTTCAGCGTCTCTACAATGCTATTTAAACAATATTTGGAGACAAAAGACGGCATTTTTATGTAGCGTCAAAAGCCATCAAATAACAAAAACATGGCAGATAAAAAGATCCTCAGTACTGGGTCTAATAATTTAAAGAACACTTAATTTGAACCCGGCCATATTCTCTCTCTCACTTGTTTGTCATTGCCTTCATTTTCCCTCGCTTACTTCATTCTTACCACGGAATATGTAATGTGTATATGTAGGCCTCATTATGTTAATTAGGGTCAATGGTCAAATTGTCTCAATATATCTTCCATACATCCATAATTATCAAGGCTAAACAGTAGAAACTTGACATATGGATAGATCATAATGGGAGAAGCATTTTATATAAAAATATGACATCGTGAAAATGCATTCTTCATTATGTAAATCATTAGCATACGTATCACCTAATTCGTCAAAGTGACGAATTAAAGTCTAGTTATTATTAACTCGCTGGGTTTCTTAATGATAGGAATTGGAATAATAACTGACGACTTCCAAAGTTGTGGAATGACACCATTATCAATATTCAAACGGAAAATACAAGTAAAAATGTAGGCAAGTAAATAATGTTGTTGATGGCAAATCTCAGAACCTCAGAACCCGGTGGTTTGTCCCACCAAGTTTAAGCTCTTCTAAAATGAGTGAACAGAAAAGCGAATTTAGGGGCAGATTGGAGCCTCCCTCCCCCGTTGATTCAATTCTCTCTAAAGTTTGGCATTTGCTTTGAAAAATAAAACCTTAACAAAACATATTTACCCTTGGTAAATAAGGCTAAATCGTTATTGTTATTAATTGATCTACCGCGTAGCGTGCTAGAGCACCTATTGAGCACCTATCTCATGAATGGCATGGTGAAAGACCGTTAACCATTCATGGCATGTGCCTACAAAGTATAATTTGGTTAATTTATTGTAGCATCTATTCGATTTTTATAATTCCTTGATTTGGTTTCTGTTTTTGTCTCTATTTCTGTTATGGAAGAAAACACTATACAATGCGTCCCAGATAAAACGAAACCGAGAATTATCGATGTTTCATCATAACTTAATCACAATTATAATTGATAAATGACACATATTTGGAAAGCTTAGATCCTCCTCTTTCATTTGATGAAACTCATAATAATGCATATTTCACGCATGAGTGATTAAAATAAATTTGAAGAGAGGAAAACAAAAAGTCATTTTTCCTGATTGAGGTGTCATATGAAAGGGCAGAAACCCAACTTTCTAGAAATGTGATTTTCTCTTTGAAATTCAGATACCGGGGTAAAATTCAATGAATTATCGAAAATTTATTGCATTTTATTTTTCATTTTTTTATTTGTGGGAACTGCCCCCTACCCTAGCCCCCGCTGCGTACATTCATGGTTCCGTGACAAAGCAATGGCCTCGTAACTGTGAGACCCCAGGATCAAAACCGTGTCGATATGCTATATTAGTGCCTTTTTGTGGGGCATTAATCCTCATTACTGTCATTTATGACTTAAGGGCGTAGGTCCCCTAGTTGATAAGCATATTATCATACACATGCTTTAGCAGTCACGCAAAACAAACACAGGCTTATTATTATTCAATCAAATCTAAAATGTATACTATTATCTAGATCTATTAGGAATAAATCATTTTTAAAATAATTCCATAAATTGGGGTAAAAAAAAACATTCCAACTATATGAGCGACAGTGTAGTGCCTTTAAGGTCTGCAGTAACGGGAGTGACCGATAGACAATGGTAATTGATGAGGTGGTCTGCAGTCACTATGAACATGACAGACAATGAAAGCGGACAAAATATACAGTTTCTCAGGTAGACAAAGAAACATCCCTTCACTGCTATTATGTAAAAATGTGTAGAACAGGTGAATATGCATGTGACACCTGTTCTACACATTTTTACATAATAGCAGTGAAAGGATGTCCCTTTGTCTACCTGAGGAACTGTATATTTTGTCCGCTTTCATTGTCTGTCATGTTCATAGTGAGTGAAACCTGTGGGGTGGGGCGTTTCACAAAGCCTTTTTTCAATGACAAATAACAAAAATCAGTGACAAATCTGCTGATAACCAATCAGAAGCAAGCATTTCAGTAGTTTATAAAAAAAATTGTCATTTGTCACTGATGACAAGTTTTGTGAACGCCCCCAGATGTGTGTAACTAGCTAGCCACTGGTGAGGAGGTCTACAGTAAGAGACCTGAGATAGGTGATGTCTGTTCCCTGGAAAGAAGGTTGATGTAACCTGTGCTTAATTATGTGTATGCTGTATAATTTCTCGGCCAATTAAGAGTAGGGGGTTTTGTCCCCCTTATTTCAGATAGCCAATACAAATTGACTCGGCCTACTACTTGGTGTTTGTTGCCTGTTTGTTTACGCCCCCCCCCCCCTGACAGACTACGACAGTACTTATGATAATTAAATCTTTTACAAGCACTTCAATTTAAGGGTAACACTATTGAATGTAAATAAAGAGAGGACGTTTGAATATGACATCGGGCCTGGATCCGCAAGTCGTTGACTCTTGGAAGTGCACAACATTCCAATTGAAAATCTATTTATATACGCAAATTATATTCCATTTTCTTCACAGGTTGTACGAGTCCTGATTGCATCCCATCTGATATGGTTGTCCATGAATCAGAATATCATCGGAATCCCCCAAAGAGCAGGATGGAGTCTGGCGGAAGGAATCCATGTTTTCACTTCACAGCTATCGTCTCTCTGATGGTGTATCTATGTTTCTTTGTCCCATTGGCATTTTGGTAATAATAAATGGCGTAGCTACGAGAAAGGGGCACAGTCCCCTCATTTGAATGCGGAAAGAAGAAAACACGAGATAAAGATGGAAAGAAATATGATGATTATTTGTTTTTCTTCAAGTTTCATCAGTTTTGTCCTCCAACTCTCTACGATTAATCAGGGCTCGACACTAACAGGCGCCCACAATCTAGAACCGAACAGGACATATCACTCATGCAAACAGACCATCAAAAATGTGAAAATAATGAAAATATTGATAAAAGATCGGCAAATGTTGCTGTCTTTTGCGTCTGTTCTGAAAAACAGTTGGAATTACCATCAAGGGTCTAGGGATCTTCATATCGAGAGAAGATGTCATCAACATTTTAGGGGAAATTAATACCAACTGAGTGGGTGATATTTTGCCTGGAAAATATGCAATTATCTATTTTGATGGCTAGCTTTTTAAGTAAAATCAGCTATACACTTGCGTGCGCAAAATAAGGTCTTGTTGTTTTATGACTTTTTCGTCAGATCCAACATCGAATTTATAGATTGCGCTATCTCTGAATTTGTTTGACGATAAATCTTCTAGTTGCATCAATTTGTAGTCGAAATGTTGCTAGTTATTTGGTAATAATTGAACTAAATAGATTTGTGAGAATTATATATATCATAGATCGAATATCAGATTTCTTTTAATCTCGGCGAACTTTGATCACCCGATTATTGTGTAAACCTGTGTCTTTTACAGGTCCCCCTGTGAAGATGTTGTTACACCAAACGAGCTTGGCAAAAATGGCTCCCATCAACAGATAGAGGTTTGTCAAGAGATCAAATATGGCAACGTGGATCATCACACGCAGAAAGCGCACCACTGGGACCAGAAGGGAAGAGTCCCCTACCCCATAACCGATCTGAACTACTTTTACGATGACCTCCCATCCGGAGAGCGAGCTCCGGGACACATCGTGCGGGTGAACAGTCCTGCCAGGACAGTTTCAGTCCTGGAGCCCTTTGATTCAGGAGGTTGCACCAATCATCACAGGGCCACTGTCGATTCTACTGCAAAGCAGGATAACTGCCTGGTGGCCGTCAATGCTGGGTTCTTCAACCCGAGAAGCGGAGCATGCTATGGAAATGTCGTGAGCAATGGGAGGCTTGTCCAAACAAATGGAGGATTGCAGAATGCCCATTTGGGTATCCGAGCTGATGGGACACTTGTCTTTGGGTGAGATTTAGAAGGCACTGTTTTTTAGCTATCTCGTTTACACAATAATTGATGAGTAATAATCTTTCTGACTAATGAAGGTAGAACTATCAGAATACAAGATTGGAGGTATGTTAGTGCTCAATTAACTTGCAGACTTCAAAAGAAGGAATCTTAAAAGGAAAGTCCAAAGTGAGTTTTCAAATTACCGTCCCTGGTTGTGCTTTAATAAAAGCGATACCAAATGCGATTAATAAATTTAGGCAATATGTACCTCCATTGATGAGGAAAAGTCAAAGGTGGTCTATGTCACTGATTTAAATCTTGATTATTTTGGGAAATGATTTGTGATTTTACTGATGTATTAGATTAAATTTGACTTCACTTGCAGATTTAAACAGTAACAAACCAAAGATTGATATGGTTATCTTTATCTAGGTATTTATCAGAAGAAAATGTATTACAAACAGAGAATCCATTTATCCAGCTGGTAGGAGGAGTCGGATGGTTGCTAAGAGACGGTGAAATATATGTAGAAGAGAGCAAGAAAGCAGAATGTGGAGACACAGAGGAAGCAAGTATGTTATAAACAAAGCTTGTAAGAGTTAGAGATAGTTACACAAGAAGTCGCGTTTATTGAGATTGAATTTGGGAGGCAACTATTTAGAGCTACTTGAATTTACCTTTGAGTAGGCCCTATGTACACATGCGTGTGTCACAACTAAATTATCTATCTCAATACATAATTTTTTCTCTATTGTTTATAGGGCTGTTTCAAATTGCGTTCAAAAGAAAAAAGTACAGAGTGGGTGCTTTGCAGAAGGATATGGGACTAAGTAATGCTGTTATGCTTATATCTACATGCATTTATAATATCCCATCCCGACTTGACATTGGCATGGCCTCACCACATAATCTCGATAAACGATCACCTTGATCAGAATAGAGCTGCCAATACTTTATCATGCTGGAGATCTAATTTTGAACATAATTAACTCTCCCTTCAGAAGCTGCACTAGTTGCCTATTCAAGCGCATACAATTTAAGATATTCCACCAGATATGGAAAGTTGTAAATGGATTCACACCAAGATCTAATCATACCTTCTCGTATTCTAAGATGATCACATCAACATCTCCTTCAGATCCCAAGTACAAGAAGTCGCCTGCCGCGAAAGGTCTCTCTTGGCCCCAGCACACTGTCTGTGGAACAATTTACCTCTGGAGCTGAAATTTTAAATTCATTAGAGAGTTACAAGTCCAAATTGAAAGGCTGCCTTTCAAATCAATTCTTGACAAGATGGCACTTATTCAGATTATTATGTCTTATCTATTCTCCTTGTGCGCATTGGAATAGAAGTTCTATATAGATGGCGCAATAGAAATGCCTATTATTATTATTATTATAATATTAATAATAATAATAATAATAATAATAATAATAATAAAAATAATAATAATAATAATAATAATAATAATAAGGAGGCTTCCTATTTTCAAGTGTATATTTTTTGTAGTCCTCCTTTTCTTGTTCAAATTTAATTATTTACGAATGTACAATCTGATGTTTTATTTGATGTTCAAGAATAAAATGATTTTGAATTGAATTTGAATAATATTGTTAATGTTATTAATATTATTATTATTAATATTATTTTTATTTTTATCATTATTATAATTATTATTATTATTACTGTATGTGGAAAGGCCAAGTTATTTTATGTGATACTTTACTTATAACTGAAGATTTTAGTATATCTGATGATTGTCTCAAGTGGAGAACCTACTAGCTTCGATTATTCCAAACATGAAGTAAAAAGCAATTATACATTTGATGTTAAAGTATATTCAGATTTCCAAATTATTTGACAACATTTTAACTTGAACTTAATCATATCTCAATCCCAAGGGGGCAAATTGCCCGGAACCCCTGTATATTCGATTTGTTGGTATAATTTGTTGTGTGGTATAAAGAGTGAACAAATATACAGGAATGGTGAGTGATTTAGCTCTCGGAAGCTCTGAAAGTGCTTTGGTAAATTGAAAAAGAGCTCTGGTACAAAACAATAAAATATTTTAAAATCGCTGCGAGAAAATCACACTTATACAAAACCAAATCCTAAAAGAGTTCCCACAAACAATGGAGACAATCTACAAACATTTGGTTGGGCAATTGCACATCACCTCACCGTACTGCAAAAACAATAAACTTGAGCTCTTTTTAATTGTTACGGACAGCCATTTCATAGCAAGAAACTTTTGTAAATTTGCTTAAAACCCTAACCATAAGCCTAACTCTTTACAATTACTGAGTGCTTCACCAAATGTGAATATGTTATCAAACCAAAATTGATACTTGCTTGACATACTCTTGCAACAATACTTGATCTACTGCCTCTGCAGGCGCGTACGCAGGATTTTTTCAAGTTTAACATTTATAAATCGGTCCGAAAATTTCGCAACGACTCAGCCAGCCGCTGAATAAGCCTAACTTTTTTCTCGAATTTGGAAATGACATTTGCTCCGTTGAAGGTCACCAATGGGAATAATTTTATAATTAAAACCAAAATTGATACTTGCTTTGACATACTCCTGCAACAAAATCTACTGCCTCTGTATGTCAATTTCCTACACAAACCAAATTTATAACTTTGACCCTGGACCCAACATTCAACCTAAGCCGAACCCTAACCCTAATCCTAAACCTAACCTAAAACCCAATAGAAACCCTAAGCATTTCTTAAACCCTGTAATTTTTACTCAAACGATAAAACCCGGAGCAATTGCTATATATAGGAACAAATTAAAGTCGATCACAATTTCCAGTTATTTCTCCATTCACTTGTGTGCAAAGTGAACCATGTAAACCAAAGTGGGCATTCAACCTGTATTGAATGATAGTAACAATGAATGATGTCTTGCATTTTCCAGGTAGTGTGGATTTATTCTTTAACATGCTTTCAGCGAGAGTAGCTGTGGGCAGTGATGAAAAGGGACGATTAGTCATTGCGGTTATAGATGGACAGACTCTGAAGAGGGGGTAAGGCTCAGAAGTTGAAATGTCATTTTAAAGCGAATTTAGGGTTTACTTCTTTAATATCAATTTCTTAGAAATATAGATAACAATTGCAGATTTTCTGGAGCTAGTAGCCTGTTACGCTTGCATTATCAACAGTTTTCCTCTTTTGTATCGACTGCGTATAGCTTAGAAACACTAAGAAACATTACCATTATTGCTTAGGATAATTTACTTCTGAAAAAAGTACACATCCTGAAGTTGTAAAAGCTCGAAATGGCATAATGTTCATAATATGTGTATTGCATTCTCACTCGCATCTCGAGATGCAAACGAGATATGGCGTTTATTCAGATTCAGATTTCAATTAATTTTATTGGTCCATTTGGAAATTCAATTTGTCGGCATTACATAAAGCACATGAACAAAATACAATAGAAAATGATATCAACGGATAATATACACTGTAGCAAATGTATGATGAAGTCATATAGAAACACGGATATATTATATATATATATATCGTTATAACATAGTAGAATAATATAAGAAAATAAATGGATTTACAACAATATTGAAAATGTACGATTGCGTAGAATTCGAAATATATCATTGTTATTTTGTTTATTTTTTTAAAATAAATATTATTATCATTATTATTATCATCATCATTATTAACATTATTATTATTATCATTATTATCTGTTACTATCATTATTATTTATTATTTAATATAATCATCATCATCATCAACATTATTTATTATCATTATTTGTCACGGTAATATAGCTGAATTTTTGTTTTTTTCTTCATAAATTAAACGGTATATAACTAATACTTGGAGTAACATATGGTATCAAAGGGAATTGTTTGCTTTCTTTGCTCGTGATACCGGTACATTTGGTTAAAAAGGAATTACGGTACAATGCAATTGATGAATAATGAATTTTATCTTCGGTCTGTTATCAGTCTGCTGTCGGTTTCATTGCAGGAAAACCCTTCTTACTTTGTTCCCTTTTTCAAAGAAGGGCCAAATAATCTCACAAAAAGCTTTTGATACCTCATCCATGCAGTTTATCAACCAAATAAGGGAGTTTACAGATAGCACATGGTACAAATGACCACATATCCACAGATCTTTTACAAACGGAGAAGTTCCACTTTGAGCATCTTAGAATAATAACTGCCAAAGTCCTAGATGTGCTTCATGAATACCTTTTGTTTGACCTCTTGAAAAGAATACTTCCACCTGCGTATCATAGAATGTACCGTTGGTGCATACATGAGTAATGTTACATATAACTTTCATGAGCGCATATCCAGTATTCATCTCTGTGGGTTTTACCATTTTGGTACAAATGACCTTTATCTGCCCATGCGCAGATTGTATCTGTAAACTCCCTTATTCTAATTTCGCTTTCCGTTTGATTATTCAGGCTGTCGTTGTTATCCTTTGCGAAATGGCTTCTTTCTCACGGAGTAACAAATGCCATTAATTTTGACGGAGGTGGATCGGCAACCTTTGTGGTTAACGGAACTATTGTCAATCACCCATCCGATCCTTGGTGAGTGAATGGTTGCTCCGTTTTTTCACTTCCAATAATTCCTGGGCCCTGTTCCATAACAACCTTTTATCAGAAGCAAGTGACAATAACTGCTAAAATCTATTGAAATGGTCGCATTTACTTGGCTGAAGCAAATTTGTCACAACATGGGCAGTTAAGTACGTTGACACGCATGATCAGTCGGCGTTCGTCGTGTTCTCGTCCACTCAATCTAAAAGTCCCTAATTGATAAGTTTATGAACCACAGGGCCTTGAGCATATAGGCTCACATATATCAGTATGTGATTTAATCACGTTTTGGACCGGATGTCCTCTCCGATATATCCGTGTACACTAGGTCCCCTTTTATCTGATCAGGTTTACTCATGCTTCATGTTTAGTATTATCATTTTATTTGATACAAGGCTGTAAATGTGGTTATAGTTTTGGTGTTGCAAATGTACATCAGTGTATGAAGTAAATATTGTATGCCAATTCGGAAAGCCATTAAAAACGGAGAAATCACGATATGTAGAGAAACAAGCGTACTGGTATTGAAAAGAGAGCTTTAATATCAAATTACAGATTTGTAGTCAACGTAGTACAGATGAAATTAGAAATGGTTCCTCATTTTTTGTTGAAGGTTAAAGGAAAATCCAACCTTAAAAACAAACTACTCTTGACTAAAAGAAAGCTGAAAAATATCAAAAAAGCAGACAGGTGAAAGTTTGAACGAAACTGGACAAATAATAAGACAGAGGACCTATAATAATATGTTATCCATGGTATAATCTAGTAGTGCTACAAGGGAGAAATCACTTGGAGAAAACAAATAAACAGAAATAAGTGATATTCCACTGACCAAAATAAAGTATGATTGTCATTTAATGTATCATTGGGGGTAGATCGTGCATACAAAGATATTAATAAGTTTATTCATGACTTACAATAGTTCAGGTATTATGAATAAAGTTGTGAAGTGCATAATCACAGTGTGTTATGTTTACAACATAGCCATGACATTACCTACCGATGTCCCAGGCAAGTATCCACCATTTTCTGTGTCCATGAGCCGAGATGCGATCCCAGAGACTGTAATAACCATGGCGACTGCATCCAAGGAGAGTGCCGTTGCCATGCCAACTGGCATGGGGTGTCATGTGACCAGCTCCAATGTGGAGATCATAACTGCAGTGGGCAAGGCATATGTAATAGAGGTATGTACATTTATGTTCGACAAAGACTTTTTATTTTTCGAGAAAAATGTAAATGATTCTTATCTAAAATAAGTTTCATGTAGACAAATCATTTAGTTTTAGATAGAGAATTCTTGTAGATAAATGTATGGGGGGGGGGTAATATACAAACCAAGTGAATGGTAGCTTGTTGATATGAAATCTAGTTTCCTTTATGACGTTCATCTGATTAGTTGTGTTGAAAAAACACTTTTCTGCATGCCTACTTACCATAATCACCTTCATTTCATGTTTTGAGATTGTCACCCACACGCAATCATGGCTTTATCAAAATACTGGTCATGAACAGTCCAAGAGATTTGCTTGGGAAACCAGAAAATTTCTTCTATCGAAATAATATTTGCAGTATGAAGATGTGTATCTTCTTGACTTTAAAACTTCATACAAGCTCATTTACTTAAGATGCGGTATACCATGGTGTATATTTGAATTAAATTAAAGTGTAATACGCTTTTACATTTTGTATCTTATAAGAAATGTATAAGTGTTGCACATATCTCCTTATTCTAGCCCCACTTGCCGTGACATGCAATTGAAGAAAAAAAATGATATAGTTTTCCACATCATTTGAATATACCTTAAAGAAACAATTTTGTAGGTTGTCTTTCTCCTTAAACTGATTTTCGGTGCCAGGTAAAAATGTCAGAGGTAAAAATGTCAGAGGTAAAAATGTCAGAGGAAAAAATGTCAGAGGTAAAAATGTCAGAGGAAAAAATGTCAGAGGAAAAAATGTCAGAGGTAAAAATGTCAGAGGTAAAAATGTCAGAGGTAAAAATGTCAGAGGAAAAAATGTCAGAGGTAAAAATGTCAGAGGTAAAAATGTCAGAGGTAAAAATGTCAGAGGTAAAAATGTCAGAGGAAAAAATGTCAGTTGTAAAAATGTCAGAGGTACAAGCAAAAAAAATGAGTGCCGTCATAATATCTCAACACTTTTATCACACAGAATGTTGAGACGTACTGCTACTGCATTGGCTAGTCTATTATATTCTTTTCTTCCATAATGTAAATTTTATAAATGGCTGTGTGTTGTATTTCGTACATGTCCCGAGGATAATACAATGTGGAAAATAGATTTTGAAATTTATTTTGTTGTGATCAGGCTTGCATATAATGAATGTCTAACATTTTTTGATATTTTGAATTGGTTGATGTGTTAATGTTTGTGAAACGGACCGGTTTGGCCGGTGGCAGCCTGCAACATAGCCCGTGTAACATTCCAGAGACGAACAAAGACCAAACGAAGAAATGAAAATTCTCGACAAAAGTCAAGTGTTAAAGTGAGTAGTGCATTTAGTACAAAATAGTTACATAATCACGAGGAATCACGAAAAGTTACATATAAGGGCTGGGCGCCCCGAACTCTGCTAAAGCTTTTAGCACCTCATGGCGGCAAAGGAAGTGGAGTAAGAATGAGAAAAAACAAGAAGTCGCCCGAAAAGTAAAAAGTCGCTCCGAAAACTAAAAACCCACTCCAAAAAGTAAAAGACCGTCTCGATTCAGAAGCTCATCCCCATTTTAAACTCTCCGACAATTATAAATAACGATGTAATTTAAACCGAACCTCTGCAAAGCGCGCGCTTCTCTAAAATGTGATGGTGCGGTTGGCATTTAAAGATAAAGTTGAGTTCTGGTCTTGCGATTGCATTGTGAAAGAAACGGTGTGGAAGCAATCAGAAAAGGTTGATCATCTAGCATAAACATGTAAGTATTGGTGTGTAGTGCAAGGTTTTGGAGTCATCAAAATGATAAAATCTTTGGTACACAGAAAGATATTGATATGGGACTACACAAACATATGGCATACATTATTATCGGGCCTCATTTTAAAGCTGTTACTTGTCATATCTGGGATATGAAGTCATATGAAATAGATTTTTAGGGAATAACTTTTTTCTTTGATGTTCTTCCACACTTGCATAATAAGAATGATAACAAACGCTCACACATTATTGTTCACCTTTCCCCAGAACTCAACCTTCTCTTTAATTGATGTAACATGGGCGGCTTGCTGCTTTGTATCGGAGTAACAAAGCTGCTTATTGATTTTTCCCAGACTACTCTATACCGCAATAGTAATCGACAATATTTTATTGCAACGTGAGCACTTCGGGAATGTGATGGTGCGGTTAGCACTGATAACATGGCTTTCTGCTTTGTTTCAGCATGGACCCTACTTTCAGAGTATCAAAATACCAAGCCCACAAGAAAGTGGAATTGTCGGAAATATGCATTTATTGGAAATTACATATAATAGTAGTCATTGCCACGCAGTTGAAATGTCCAACAATCTTCAAAAGTGAAGGAGAAGTGGGGGGGGGGGGGGGTCATAGATATCTGTTCCTATTTTGTGGGCTGTACTGACTTTTCTTTTTATTTAATGATTACACCATGGAGCGACAACTCAGCCTATAAAACATGGCCAAACTTCTCGATTTTAGAAATCCTTTCCCCCAGAAGTTTGCTCAGTGTACCAGTACCATTTGCTTATACAAAAGCATAATATACCGGTATATCAATATTGAATAAGGCAGACTAATGGGACATGCATGGTTGCTACTCCGAGTTTCACGCCTCGCAAGCGATCATCAGACAACTGATAGCTTTCGTCAAAGTACATGATTCCTCTACAACCTTGGTACAAATACGCACAAAATAAGAGCAATACAATACAATAAGACTACAATACCTGAATACAATATAATAAGAATACTCATGAGTAATTCCAATTGTATTTTATTAGTTAAGTCTTATTTTAGGGGTATTTGTACCGATTTAAAGGGGAAGTCCACCCTGAAATTAAGTTAGTTTTAATAGGAGTAGAAAAATGAGAGAAACAAGTCAGTGAAAGTTTGAGCAAATTCCGATTAAAAATAAGGAAGTTAGGATTTTTGAAGTTGTGATCAATCAAACACAAATTGGCAACTCTGTGACGTATCATGCGAGCTCAACTTCCATTTGCTCAGTACTAAAAAAATCTAAAATTTTCATTTTCCCTCAAGAAAAATTTCAACCATGCATGCACCCTAAATATAATAATTGCAAATATGTTTCTATACTCCCCCTGCGAGGAACAAATATATATTCCGTCATCAATAACGAAGAAAACATGATTTTATGGAATATTATGCACAAAGCAAATGAAGGAGAGCTCGTATAATAAGTCACAGAGTTGCCAATTTGTATTTGATTGATCACAACTTCAATAATTCATAACTTTCTTATTTTCATTCAGAATTTGCTCAAACTTTCACTCACCTGATTTTCTTATTATTCTGCATCTATCGAAACAAACTTATTTTGGGGATGGACTTTCCCTTTAAGGTTGTAGGATAACCATGTACTTTTAAGAATGCTATCAGTTGCCTGATGACTGCGTGCAAGGCGCGAAACTCGGAGTAGAAACCATGTCCCATTAGTCTGCCTGCTCTGCCTAGGCATTGACCACTGTTCGGAAGGATATAGCAAAGCATATGAGAGGAAGGGTGAGAGCAGCCGGGTTACCGTGCCCCAGAAGAAGAATACCCCCCCCCCCGTCTTCCTTCGACAATAATCGAGCAAAAAGTCACATTTTGGGGCCGAAAGGTAAATAAATTTAAACTGGGAAAGTGGAGAATAAAGCAGCGGTGAAATAACGACTGCAGAATATCCCTCGCTGTTCTTTTTCGATAAGCCTAATATATAACCCGGGTGTAACCATAACAAACTTGTCACATGCTTTTGTTTTTATTTTATACCTCTAACATTTATACCTCTGACATTTTTACCTCTGACATTTTTACCTCTGACATTTTTACCTCTGACATTTTTACCTCTGACATTTTTACCTCTGACATTTTTACCTCTGACATTTTTACCTCTGACATTTTTACCTCTGACATTTTTTCCTCTGACATTTTTACCTCTGACATTTTTACCTCTGACATTTTTTCCTCTGACATTTTTACCTCTGACATTTTTTCCTCTGACATTTTTACACCGAGCCTGATTTTCACATTCTTTTATCACACCAAAGATGGATGTCGTTGCGACGCGGGCTACTTGCCCCCAGACTGCACAAGGACTTGCCCCAGTGGTTGGTATGGCCAGGAATGTAGCTATCATTGTGACTGCGGTCACGGTGGGTCGTGTGATCCGGTCAGCGGAGAATGTGCTTGTCTTCCAGGCTACACTGGTACAATTTGCCAAGAGTGTAAGTTAGTTCTCTTTTGTAATCCAAGTGGGCCGAGTTACCTTAGTCAAGAAAGACTTCTCACTAATCCACTTTAGTAAATTATGATTGTCCGTAGATTGTTAATTTTTATCATTAGTAGCAGTAGCTGTAGTAGCTGTAGTAGTAGTTTTAGTAGTATTGTTGTTGTTGTTATTATTATTATCATTATTATTATCGTTATTGTTATTTTGAATACAAAATGGGTGCTCACATTGGGAAAATGAAACCGATAAAACGTGTAAATACAATAAGTAAAAAAAAAAGAAACTTTTAAAGAAATTGGTAGTTTAATATCTCCTTTTGTATTTGTTTATATGCTGGACGTAGTGCTGGAAATTATATTTTTTGTTTAAAGATTACCATTGGAAAAAGAAAAAATATTGATTTATTTTTATTTTAAAGTCTAACCTTTTCATATAAGTTTTATTAACAGGGTAAGACAAAACGTAACGTTAAGTATGTTAAGAAAGCCTATTATAAATACAGTGAAACATATGGCGAGACATGTATGAACATTTTAACGACTTGTACTTTGATCATTATTTCAAAAAGTTGAATAGCTAGTATATTGTACATTCTTACATTTATATACAAAGAACGATTTTTGTAATCTCATCCTTTTTCTCATTGCAGCTGGGGAGAGCATTGCCAGCAGAATCATCCTAAATGTAGGACTGGTTTCTGGCAAACATCTCTTGGAGGACCAACTCCCGGTGCTTCTCATCATAGCGGTTGCCGTGGCGATTGTCAGCATCTTCTGCAACTTCATCAGCTTGTGCTTTCGCTACTCCTGCACGTGCACCACCGTGCCGTGTGACAATGGGTACAGCGTCCCAAGGAAACATGTCCACCAAAAAATATCTACTAAACAAATGGATTTATTTGATGAATTTAAATCTAGTACTTAGCCATTGGCGTAGCTTGGGGAGCAAGGATGTCATGCACTAGTCCCCCCCCCCCCCCATTCTGCATTGTGTACACAGTACTTATTTAAGTGTACTTTGTTGACACTACGCACAGTACTCATGGTATCCTTAGGTCGAAATTATTTAAATTTGGTTTGTAAAACAGATAGGGCGGCCCCCTTAAGGTTTAAAAAAAAAAACAGATCCCGGCGGTCCGGACTTTGGGAAGCCCTGATTAATGATGACAATATGGTCCTGTTTAGGGTGACGATATGGTCCTGTTTAGGGTGACGGTTTGGTGCTGTTTAGGGTGACGGTTTGGTGCTGTTTAGGGTGACGGTTTGGTGTTGTTTAGGGTGACATATGGTGCTGTTTAGGGTGACGGTTTGGTGCTGTTTAGGGTGACGATATGGTCCTGTTTAGGGTGACGATATGGTCCTGGTTAGGGTGATAGTTTGGTGCTGTTTAGGGTGACGATATGGTGCTGTTTAGGTGACGATATGGTCCTGTTAGGATGACGATCTATGTTCATTTGCAATCTATGTTCATTAGAAGCAAGACGTAAGCAGTTATGTATAGACTTTGCAAATGCTCTTGTCAAACACCCACAATTTAAAGAATGTTTACCTCTTAGACAACAAAGCACTTATTCTCTAAGATCTCAATCAAAGTTTAAACAATACCAATGTAAAACAAAACGCTTCCAGTGCAGCTCTCTTCCTTACTTTATAAATCTTTTGAATAAAATGTAATACCAATATTTTTAGAATTTCACAGTCCATGATTGAACTATGTGAATGAATTTTGATAGTTTTTATCTCAATTTTCTGCATTACTGAATATTTCTTGCCATCTCCCCTCATCTGTAATGATAAGGTACCCTTTGTCTGTCTCTCCCTCTCTTCAACTCTCTCTCTCCTTCTCTCCCTCCCTATCTCTTTCCGTCTTTCTCCCCCGTCCCCCTTTTCTCTCTTTCTCTCTCTTTCTCTCCTTCTCTCTCTTTGTCATCACTCCAACTCTCCCTCTCCTACACCTCTCCCTATCTCTTTCTTTTTTAAACAAAAATTTGAATCTGATCAATGAATTTTTATGAAATGTCTATTATGTTTGATTATTGATTTATATCATATTTTGTGTTATTTCAATTTGAATTGCAATTGTATTGTATATAACCTTGTGAAATGGATCGCAATTCAGCCATTGGCTGCGATGATCTTTTTAATAAAAACCATTTCTATCTATCTATCGACGATATGGTGCTGTTTAGGGTGACGATATGGTCCTGGTTAGGGTGACGGTTTGGTGCTGTTTAGGGTGACGATATGGTGCTGTTTAGGTGACGATATGATGATGTTTATGTGATGATATGGTACTGTTTAGGGTGACGATATGGTGAGATTTAGGGTGACCTTATTCTGCCCCTACCCCTATTAAAACAATGTTAGTCAAATTTGTGTGATCTAGGAATAACAGATTTGGTTTTATCTTTCTCACTTGCACTCATTTCATGTATTTCCAGAGCTAATTTAATGCCAAGTACTTATTTATATTGTTTTCATAATACATTAGCATAAGTCGAATCCGTTGGGACCGCAGATAATAGTTCGGCTTATACAACATTGGACTCAGAAATGTAAATACATGTAACATGTTTTGCATACTTTGTGATTTGACTTCATCTTGTGTAACTTCGTGTTGTGCAATTTGACTGTATATTCCATCTACAATTTCTTTTTTTAATGAGAAGAAACTCAATAGGCAATAGGCCTGTATTGATTATAATTTTAAAACCATAAAGTCACAAATTTGGGGTTTCATTCGTTTCCTGGATGTTTTCAACATTCCTCTGTAAATCTACATTTCAAAAGATGTTGTTCTATGTTCCATGGCCATGCTTATTGTCCATGTTTCCGCTCCATACAATAGGACAGACCATAACAAAGCAGTTCACTAGTCTTAACCTAAGCGGAACGGTTTCACCTTTCTATTTGTGAATAAGTCTTTCATTGCCAGAAATGGTATAACCCTTATACCAATCTACAGGCCAGGTCTACAGGGCACTAAATGGTATGAGCGTTATACCAACCTACAGGGCACTAAATTTATACCATTTAGTGCCCTGTAGGTTGATAAAACGTTTATACTACTTAGTGTCCTGTTGTTTGGTATAACAATTATACCATTTGGTGCCCTGTAGGTCGGTATAACGTTTATACCATTTGGTGCCCTGTAGGTCGGTATAACGTTTATACCATTTGGTGCCCTGTAGGTCGGTATAACGTTTATACGATTTAGTGCCCTGTAGGTCGGTATAATGTTTATACCATTTAGTGCTCAGTTAATAGATGTAGTATTTGTCATATATCATCAATGTTGCTAGATTCGTATGTCTGTTATTTTCTTTTAATTTCTGAAAGTATCATGTCCTTTGTACTGTGCATATTTTTCAATACTGAAAGTCTTGCTTTGCAAATAAAAAGAAAATTACCAAAACAAAATGATTGAAGGTCTGTTCTATTATTCGTGGCTTTTGTAATGCATTAATGATTCATGTGTAATTTATAAATTGATGACTTTGCAATTCATGAACCATGAATTCTGGCTACTGGTATCTTCAACATAAGCTTTGGAGAAAATTAATAGAGACACCCAGAACCTGAAAACTAAACAATTTTGTTGTAAATCTGGATTTCTGCTGTACATATTAAAAATATTGTTGTTGGGCTACCACATCAAATTACACAAAAAATATGCAAAGCTGCATGAACTTGGTAAACAGGATTGATATAAGCCAATTAAAGATATTACAGTGAGAGAAAACACTCCAATACGCATTGCAATGGCAATGAAAATATATATTTCTTTTCCACATTCTCAAGCCACAAATTCCAAATTTCAACCTTGGACCAAACATCAGACCTACCCCTAACCCTGCACCCACCCCCGGGAGCGCGCTTCGCCTGCTCACTACCGCCCCCTAAAATAAAATCCTGGCTACGCGCTTGAGAGGATAATAACCCAGGTAGCAAGCCCATATGGGACCCACATGGGTCCCATATTCTCTGAAATGTTATCTTTATTGAAGGTGACTTTAAAAAGTTAATAGTTGGTAGGGAGGGGGTGCAACCTGCCATACGCTTCTACCTCTTGGTTGCTTTGATCCATTGTCGAAAATATTTTGGCACCTGTCACCCCCCCCCCCCCCCCCCCCCAACCACGGATACAAATCGACACCTTTGATGGCCTTGCTTATTGTCCATGTTTCTGCTCCATACAATAGGACAGAACAGACATAACAGTTTACTGGTCTGAGCCTAAGTGCAAAGTTCACCTTTCTATCTGTGAATAAGTCTTTCATTGCCAGAAATGTATTCCGAGCTGTTTCTATTATTTAGTATACGAAGCTACAGAGCGCTAAATGGTAAAAACGTTATACCTAGGCCTACTGGACACTAAATGGTTTCTGCTCCATACAATAGGACAGACCAGACATAAGAGTTTACTAGTCTGAGCCTAAGCGCAAAGTTCACCTTTCTATCTGTGAATAAGTCTTTCATTGCCAGATATGTATTCCGAGCTGTTTCTATTATTTAGTATACAAAGCTACAGAGCGCTAAATGGTATAAACGTTATACCTACAGGGCGCTAAATGGTATAAAATTTATACCAATCTGAAGGGCACTAAATAGTACAAGCTTTATACCAACCTACAGGGTACTAAATTTATACAATTTAGTACCCTGTAGGTTGGCATAACGTTTATACCATTTAGTACCCTGTACATTGGTATAACGCCTATACCATTTAGTACCCTGTACATTGGTATAACGTTTACACCATTTAGTGCTCAGTCTGTAGATGTAGCATTTAACTATTTCCCATCAATGTTGCTATAATAATAAGATTATTGTAAAAAAAAAAAAAAAAATGGGGGGGGGGGTGTATTTCTGAAATTATCATGACTTTTGTACTATGCATATTTTTCAATACTGAACGTCTCGCTTTACAAATAAAATGAAATTACCAAAACATAATTATTGAAAGCATGTTTTATTATTCACGGCCTTTGTAATGCACCAACAATGCATGTGTAATTTATAGATTGATGGTTTTGCAATTCATGAACTATTTTTAAGTTTAGTCAGAACCATCATTAAAAGGATAACGATAAATGTGTAATTAATTCTGGTTACTGGTATCTTCAACATTAGCCTTGAAGAAAATTATAAGAGAAACACAGAACCTGAAAACTAAACAATTTTGGGGTAAATCTGGAATTCTGCTGTACAGATTGAAATAATTTGTTGTTCGGCTACCACATCAAATTACACACAAAAATATGCAAAGCTGCATGGACTTGGTCAGCAGGGTCGAAATTGAGAGAAAACACTCCAATACGCATTGCAATGGCAATGAAATGAAAATAGATTTTCTTTCCACATCCTCAAGCCACAAATTCCAACCTTGGGACCAAACATCAGAGCTACCCCTAACCCTAAACCCAACCTAAAACATGTACATAATTACGATAATTACGGCAGTAGGATGCTCTGGGGTGCCGTTTCAGTATTTCAATTTTTTTTGCTCTCTCGAAGATTATTATAATCATTATCATCAACATCATCACCTCATATTAAGAATATAAAGGACTAGGGAATACAAATGTCAAAACAGTACCTATAGAGGGTCAGTGATTCGAAGGGAGTGAGGGATGACTCTCCCTGGAAAATCTGTGAAAGGAGTCGTCTCGAATCGGAAACCACCTCCCTTATTTTGGATAGTTTCTGAAAACAATTTTAGCAAGCTTTTGGAATCCAAGAGGATTTTTTTTTAAGGAAGCATTGATAAATAGTGAATAAAAAAATAAATTGGTCTCTTGGTCCAAACCTTTCTCAAACGTCCAAGATGAACAAATTTGACTGTCATTAATGGGCAAATTTACCTCTTGATTGAAGTAAATACTTTAATGTTGCCTTGCAATGTAAGTACATGTTCAGTGGAGT